ATCAATCAAGCATTATGTTTGCCTCATGCTTTTCTCTTTTGTGTGTCTTTTGTATTATAGCACAGCAACTTCCTGATTTCTCACTGTGGTACTTGTTGCAACCTACCTCTTGAAATTTGACAAAAGGAGTTAGACAGAGATTATGTTTTCTTGTTCCACATTAAAAGCCTCTGCCTCCAGAATTAAGTCAAAATCTGGCAGTCATTAGCATTTTAAAACTTGCTGCTCGTAATTCATCAGCTGTCATAATACTCAGTAGAGGGCAGTGCTTACACAATACTAACTACTATGCATTCTAACAAAGTGTTTACTTAGCAGCACTTCTGAAGCATCAACTAATTAATTGCCATAACACTGGTAAAGTAGATTATAGTATTAGTTTTTGAAAGTTTTTGAAAGATGAAGACTGAGGAGGCTGAAGTGTCTTGTCTAAGGCCACAGTTGTCTGTGCCAGAAAGAGGACAGGATCTGACCAAAATCCATTTCTGGAAGCAGTTGATTGAAATGGGAACTTAATACATACAGTTTCTCAGAAGACAAAGTCCTAAGTCTTTCAAATCCTGCAATTCTTGCACAAAGCTGTTCTCTGAAACTGCCCTTTATTCTTGGTTTCTCAAGCACATTGGACAAAATGCTACTATCACATCAGTGTATCTGTAGTGACTTCAGTCATATTTCTTCAGTGTAGTCAGCTTCCAACTGACTGTGTGCATGCATCCCTTATCATTTCAAGTTACCACAGAAACCTCACAGGCCACAATTAGCTGGGGACAGGACCCTATGCACCTTGCATAGTCATTTTCATGGGCTGCCTAAGAGGTTTCCCACAATGTATCTTTTCTTCAGAAACTGACAGCTTGTCCACCATGTATGCCTTTTTAGTGATTTTCCAGTTTGAGTCATTCAGGGGGTTGAAGGAGATGCTGAAATATCCTACTTTGACTTTTTCCAAATGAGATTTTATTGTTGGCTTGAAGTGCTTTCTTGATTCTGAAAAAATATTACCCCCTACTAAAAAAGGGGGTTGAAAAGGTTGAAAGCGGAATAAAACTGTTTGAAATTGTAGAAACAAAATGTTCTAGTTCAACATGATTAAAATTATTTCTGGGGAATTGCCATTTTGATGGTTTTATCCTTTTAGAAACCCCAAATCCATTTGTAAATACCCATCCCCTATCCTGCTTTGTTGGCTGAGGGAGAAGGGTATAAAATGCAACCCCAAATGCTCTGTTCAAAAATCCTGTCAGTCCCATTCTTCATTCTGCCTGTAGCACCTTGTTTAGACTTCACAAGTTCTCTCAGGTATATTCTTCCCCAACACAAGAGACTGTATGCATTGAGTTTCCTGACATAGATTCACATCTGAGGCATTTTTACCACAGGTTATTCTGCTTGGCAAATAGGATCATGGAGTAAAAGAAGGGCCACAAACGTGAGACATGTCAGTCTTCCTGGAAGGGAATTTGAGGTGGAAGCCAGTTGCAAGTCTTATGTTCTGTGAGTGAGACCTGAGAGGCCTGTTTTATAATTGCAGTAACCAGAAGAGCTAGTTAATGATTTAATCTGCTGATTTAGTTCTATGAGATTTATACAACAGTGTTTCTAAAAAAGAGTAAGATATTAGGAACTCTTTGCTCATAAGTGCAAGGTAAGAATCTACCGGATTGCTTTCACTAGACAGAATTTTTGCACAAAAAACTTGGATACCTCAGTTGCTCAATCTGAAGTGCTTGATCCAAGGTTCTCAAGAATTAGAAATTACTTGTGGGAACCTTGTTTTTGCTTCCATAAAAACAGCTGACATGGAATTTACATGGCAAACCTGGGCATCCAATGCCCTGGAGACACCCTAGAGCATCACTTTCAGCTGCTGCTTCAGAACAGTATGGGTCTCCGGCAGGTCCTGTGCTATACAGGGTTATTTCAGATACTTTAAGGTGTGTCAAATAGCTCTAAATGCCAGTATGGGTAGCCAAATAAATTAAGTCCACACTGTTTTTTCTGAACACTACCAGGAAATAAAAATCTTCAAAGACATCCCGAGATGGACATACGAAACAGAGGCACACCAAAGCAGAGGCACTCAGAATCACTACATTCCATTTGAAAATCTTAGAGCTTGCACAGATTCAACTGTCAACACTGTAGGTTTCTTATTGTTGGGACTAAGAGCTGCTAGCATGATAACAAGGAAGCATATGAACAGGAGAGATGTCATGGTTACAGTAAGAAAGCTTGATGACGACAGCATAACCACAGAGGAGTTTTGTATGTTGCCCAGTGGTAGCTTGGCACTTAGTTGTTTTCTTTGGCAGCAACAATATGGTTTAGCAGCTCATTAGAGAAAACACATGAGAGCTAGACAGCATGATCCAAAAACAAAAAACCAAAGGGGTGTTTTTTTAACCTCAGTTTCTTCTGCTTTATCACATACATAACCGCAGCACATTTTTGCATCTTCTTTGCAGGTTCCCAGGACAGCAGCTGCTTTACTGCAGCATAAGCTTTCTTACTATCCTCGTACTTTCAGCTTCTCTCTGCCCATCTTCTCTTTCAGAGCTATATCCTTCCCACATGTTATGAATATACCAACTTCTGTCAGTCCTTTCTAACAGACAGTCTAGAACAAATCTTCATCTTGGGTCATCCCCCAGGCTTGATTTTTGGATAATGTTTAGCCATTTATGATGCTTTTCTCTTTTCTTCTAGTTTTGCAAGTTTTAAAGGTCAGAAGATTTTATAAATCAGATGCCTCACAGCGCATAATGTATTTTAATATCTCCACAATTGTACAGTTATTATGTGAGTTAACTCCAAATAGGCTTATAAAATGTTGCAAGTTAATACAGGGCTTCTTGTTGTGATCTCCTTCTCTTCTCTGTAACACTCGTACAATTTCAAGAAAGTCAATGAAATTTCTTTATTATATGTGAGAGATGTATCTTGGTATGTCACACATCAGCAGGGTAATAAAACTCTGTTCATAGTCTGACTGACTTCTTCAAAGTGATATCACATTTCAGTTTTGGCTGAATGCATGTGCTTATACTCACACCCACCCAAGGTCCATTGTGTCCCTCAGTGGGATCCCTGCGTGTGCAGGTGAAGTTTTCTACACAGAGTTACTTCATCTGCACATAGCCTGATAATTGTCTTCTTTGACATGAAAAAGCAAATTTGTCTGCAAGCCATTTTGTCCAATTCTGAAAATATGTTCCACTGCTGTATTACATGTTCAGGCCTACTTGCTACCCCTGCATGGCTGCTATCAAGACAGAGAGCAGATCTGTTACTTGCTCAGCCAACTACTTGGCAATTCCCTATAGGTAACAGCTTCCCAAGTGCTACAAAACTCGTGTACTGATTCTACAAAGCCATCTTCTCTGCAGGGTCACGTACTGGAGCATAGCCCAGGGAATAAAGCAGTATATGAATGTATGGGTTCGTGCAAGGCTATTCCAAAATAAGACAAAGAACTAGATGGTCTTTCTGCTAATTTTGGGTACAAAGACTACAACATACATGACCAATGCTCCTGTGGCAAGTATAGTTCACCCACAGTGCTTTGTTATAACTGTGGTAGTTAGACACAGCCTTTTGTCATTACCTCTGCTATTCTGGTGAGGAATTTCAGAGCCAAGTTTCCTGGTACGCAAGTGAAAGAATTTTCTGATAAACGACACCTCACACATATGTCCACTTTTGTATCCTGTGCTGAACGGAGTTGCGGAGAAGTAGCTGATCAGCTGTACTGAAACTAATAGCTCTATGCACTTCATAATTAAAGGAACTGTTTATTTTTACCCAGAGTACAGGGGAACCAAAAAATACCTCAGAGATTATTTTAAAGGAGGCACTGTTATCTTTCATGCGGTCTGAAGACCCACAAAGGACTAATGCCGGCAAGGTTAACAATGCCAAGTACTTAGTTGATTCAGTGGATGAAATGGCTTCTCATGAGCTTTTACCTCCATGTGTATGGGCAGTCTGGATACATATATAATTCAGTAGTGTCCTATTTTGTTCTGTCAGTATAGAACAGTACTGATGATACTTTCTGAATAATTTCATGCTGTAAAAAAGCTGTCATATTGGGGGTTTAGATTGTTTTATTTTTAAACTTTGTGGATTATCTCTCTGACTTCATATTAATACCTTTTTTCTTCTTTAATTTTGTTCATCTCTGCTTCATCTTGCAGCAATTGCTATCAAAATTTTCTGTTGTGCTACCTCAGATAAGTAGAATTCTTTCCTCCACCTCTTTAAGGAACTTTCTTTTTGAATTTCACATTAAAACTTAGCATCAGAATTAAAAAAAGGCTTTAGTTTTCCAAGGTGTGGCACATACTGTCTCAGTCCGCTGGTGTACTCGAGCTAGAATTTCAGCTGATGTGTCTAAGCAATGTTAATAATATTAAATATACATGTAAATACATTCTTAATAAATTCTAGGGGAAAATTAGAGAACTTTAGAATCATTTAGGAAACCATTTGTAGTTTAGGCCATGAGAAATCACACCCATTGGCCTAAAGCCTGCTACCTAAATTCCGTGTTTGAAGCTGGAACCTAAATATGAGCTAAATCTGTATCACATTTGTAAAGAATATTTTGTTGCTTTTTGTGCTCTTTGCAAACCACATGACCCGTTTGTTCTTTGAGGTTAAATGTTGTTTGTAATCATGAATTTTATACAGATATTCAACCTAAGCAAATGGGGAAAAAAAAGTCACTAAAGAACTCACTTTTGCCATGTCTAACCAAAGATTTTGGGTCAGATCATCAGCTAGATCATCATAAAGTTGTTTCACTGATCTTAAAGAAGCTATGCCAGTTCATACATTCTAAGGACTACTCATTATATTATGAAGAGTTTTTACCCCATCCATCTTTGATAAACACTAGCTATTTTAAAACTGACCTGTAAGTCGTATTTCAAGCCTATAGTCATTTAATTTACTCTTTCTCCACCCCCCACCTCCCCTTTAACTTTTTCCTTTAGCACTCCAAATATCCCTGGATACACTGGCAAGGTTCATTGGTCAGCAACCCACCCGGCAAATTCTAATCTTCCATCAACAAGCCCATCAATAATTGCATGAATGCGTGGGTAGGTATGAGGTATATTTCTCAGCTTGTTCAGAAAGATTACAGGGAAAATCCTAATTGCATTTATTCAGTTAAAGAACAATTAAATGGTAAGCATGGCATTCCATTGGCTTAAAAAATACAGAGCAGTTTGGGTTGGATCCCACCACATTATTGTCATGCTAATCTGAAATCCTTTTGAGGTTTTAGAATTTTTCTGGAACATCATGAGGTATGTATTGGGAAGGTACCTTAACACTGAGGTAAATCATGATTTCTAAATGTGAATTATTTCTACACTGAGAAATTTTTTCTTTAGCTATGGTCACTAAGTCATGGCTTAAATGACTTTTTTTTTTTTTTTTGATTGATTGATTGATCTGTGTGTGTTCTGAAAGAGGCCCACAAACGTCAAAGTTAAAAATTCCCAAAAGAAAAATGTGTGGTGGTGTGTTTCCAAAGTGGTGTTGGCAGACTTATGAAATGGATATTTGCTGTAGAAAAGTAGTTGTTAAAAATGGATGGGTTTACTCAGAAGGCAGAGAGGCAAAATCATGCCATGCCCCATACCGATGCAGCCCAGGACCCTGTGACTATGAAATCATCATAGCCCCACATCACTATTGTGGCTACCTCATGAAGTGAGTTAATAATCTTTATTCTCCCTTGCTCTTCCATGAAAAGCTTGTTAAAACTATGGGCCAATATAAGTATTTAGGTGTCTCACTCTTGTTGGTTTCAAAAGAGCTAGATACCTCAGAACAGCTGAAAAACTGTTTTCCTTTTGTTAGCACAAAGAGCTTCTGACATTGCCAAAGGACCAACCTAGCCTTTCTCCCAGAATAGCTTAATAACTAATAAGCTTCAGAATAGCTTAATAACTATTTGTTTTCCCTCTCATTTATGATTTTGTGCTTTAGATTCTGAGTTTTTGTTATCCATAATTATCTAGGACATGGTGATTCTGAGTTTTTGTTATCCATAATTATCTAGGACATGGTGACACTATCCCAAGTTTCCACATTTTCCTGAGAAATTTATCTTCCATTAAACTGTTTAATTGGCCTTAGAATTCTGTTCACAACACATCACACTTCTTTTTCAGCACTGCCAGTGAAAAGTATCCAGAAAAGGCTTGAGGAGCTTTAGGGAGCTGCCTGGCTTTTAAAGAATTCACCTTGTCAAGTGTTTCATCGTTGTGCAAAATGCACCGCCTTCCATTTCTGCTGCCCTCCATCCATTCACCTCTGCTCTTTTTCTCTTGTGGTTATACTTAGAAAATAGGCAGCCACCTGTAGTCACAGTTTGCTGTTGACAGGGAATGAAAATACGCAACAGTCTCAATAGGCTAATAAAGCTGAACTTGGAGCAGCCTGATGCAAGACTAACTTGCTTGTAAATGTCACAGACAAATAAAAAGGCAAATGCATCTTAGCAAAGATCATTGACAGACTTCAGACAGACACCCGATTTCAAGAGCAAAAAGACAGGCGCCACTGTGATCTAGGAAAGGAAGACATATCTGCTACTTCCTTTTACTTTCTACAGGTGTTACTGTGGATATAGTTCATAGTGGATGAATTTTCATAGTTTTTAGTGGATAGCAAGAACAGGGTTCTCATTCTGTGCTACTGGAGACTTTCCAGAACTGGGACAGAATTGTCTGACTTTTTTGAAGAAGGATGTGTAGGAAACAGATAGCAAGCATAATCATACTCAGACTTTGTACACCAGGTTTTGCTACCCTTTTTCTGAGCTGAGTGGTGCATTCCCCTAGGGGTCTAACCACTGGTTGCAAAATTGTAACAGTCCTATTTTACTTTCACTGGGGCTACTTGTGGAGTAAGATAGTGTTCACTGACCTAAGATGGAGGATCATAGCCCTCTATGAAACTGCTGTGTAAAACTATTAGGGATGCTGGGAATCTGCCCCCAACATTAGTTAGTGATGCCCAGAAAAGAGAGGTGTTTGACATTTGATTCCTTCCCTTTGTAAAATAAATGATAAAAATCCTGCTGATTTCAGTGGTCACAGGTCAAGCTAGACTGTAGTGGAGAGGTGAAGAGAGGTTATTCCTGGAATTTGGGGTCAGACTACCCCAATTCACCTCCACCTGCTTTTCATGTAGGACATGATCTCATACTTAACTGTTTTTAAAATGGTGAGCCCTTTTTTTCTCTCTTTGATCATTCTCAAGCCATGACTATAATAACTTCTCAGAAAGTAGCAAGTGATTGCATGTAGTGGATGTTTTTATAGCTGCTTTATTTGACATGTCTACAATATATGGTCAGTCTCCTGAAGACAATTATGGGTATCAGAGGGAGTCTCTTGTCTACTGCTAACATGGTCTAATAAATGTTCCTGTCAAAAGTATCAGCAATATCAGATAGACCAGGCAGCATGCAACCACTTCTGCACTGTATTTCTATTGCATGGAGCTTCTACAGTATGTGGGGCAAAATCCTTTATACCTGTTTTAAGCACTCTGAACTCAACAAGATTGTATAGGGTATAGAACAGAAGAAATATGGTTTCTTCATCTTCGAATATGAATAGTATTTTTATATGTCAAGCTTTATTGATGTATTTTTACTCTATTTTTATTTCCAGATAATCTCAAGGTGAAGTCAGAAAATTAGGTTTCGAAGTCCTTTAAGTGCAATTAAATTCTGGCAGCATTATTTAGCTTTTGCATAGGAGGAAATGTTTTCTGTGTCATTTTGTTTTGTGTTTAAATGAACTGTCCATTGCTACCCATTTACACCATGAGTTGTATGGAAATGTGTTTGCCTTGCCATAGTTACTACAAGGTAGTGCTGGATTTAGTTGGATTTTAGAGAGACAGATTGCACCTTTTCAGCACGTTGCTTTGGAGATTTCAAAGGGATCTTTAAGTCAGAAGAAACTATTTTTTGTTTGGAGAGTGAGTGAACATAAGACTCTGTGGTCAGCTGTGTATCAGCCCTGCTTTTGATTAGGTGTTTTGCAACAGAGGAGCTACACCAACTTAGGTTCTAGGTATAAGATTATAGTGTCTCTTCCTCTAAAAGATTAGAAGAATATCAGAAGGCTAGCATAAATTGTTCCCTCCCAGACAATCCCTAGCATATTTCCTAATCCCCATCCCAGTATTCTATACCACGAGGACTGGGCATCTAGAGCAGGCATGTCATGGTGCCAGCAAAGTGTTTTTTCTAGGCTTGGAAGCCAAACCTCCAGCATCACCAGTTAGCCTTCCAGGCAACACAGGGCCTTATGTGTTTGAATGCATTCAGCATGCTCATGGCAATTTGCCACAGTGTGCAGGTTAGTTGTGAAGCAACTGTGCGTGTCCAAGAAAGGCTGAAAAGAGGCAGAACACACCTTTCTTGGCTGCTGTAGGGATCTATCTTTCAGCATGTTACATCTATCCAGAAAGTAGGATTTAAAACACTGAGGAAGATTTGTCACCATTGCTCTTAAGGGGGCTAATTTTAATACTATGGCATATTGCAAATTACTAATATTCTCTGAGGCCAATGGGCATAACTGTTTATGAAGAATGCAGTGAGAGGGAAGAAGAGGAAATATTTAGCCATATGAGAACACGTTTTAAAAGCCTTTTCTTCTCTGAGTTTTTGTGACTGCAGATACATAGCAAAACACAGAAGTTCGTCTCGGTATAATCACCAGGGAACTTTTGCTCAAATGGTGACTCCAGTTAGTCCTCAGAATTCTTTCAGCAAGAGAGAACGAGAAACTATTCTAGTTTAGAAAGTGTCAGTCCTTTTTACCTGCATAACTGAGAGCCTCAGTGTCTGACAGTGAGGAGGAAAGAAATGTGTGAAGATGTGTGGATACTTTAAATACGGAACAAAAATAAAATAACATAGAATTGTGTGTTTGTGGTAGTCCTTATTACATTATTCTCATATTTATGACTTACTAGTGTTGACAGTTAAAACCATATTAAAAACAAGAGGAGTCATAAGTCAAAGCCTTGAGACTTGCTCTCTGTACTGGATTGCCTTGTTAACTAAGGTAGAAAACAATGCTGTAGCTGTTCCATCCATTGACATAAATGTTTTGTGTGTATATGTATACACACACACTCATGCAGACACACATATGTAAATGTATTATTAACTAAGAAATCATTACAGAGCAGCAGCCCTTCTCACCAGCTGTCCTAAACATGCCTTGCAAAGATGGTTAAATGTCACAGAGTGATATTTTAATCTTTGCTTGTACTGGCTCTGTGTGTAGTAGTGAATAAAAGGAGCCAGGTTATGTTCTCTGGTCTGGAGGCTAATTAAGACTGTGTGGCTTGCACCCTTGCTTAAATTCTCTTATGCTTAAACTGAAAAGAGTTAAATGGGGAAGATGGAGGGCCAGTACATAAGCCTTTGTCTCAGCACTGTTTTATTTTCTGGTGTTGGTGTAGACATCACGAGGAAGTTGCATCCCTGAGAAAGAGACGACCAAATGCGAATTTGTAGTTCAGGGAGTTCTACTGTGCTCCAGGGACCAAAATAGCCCAAATAGTTTATTCTAATTTGGACAGCCTGGCAGCTTGCTCAGAAGTTTCTGCCCTGAGGTCTCTGGTGAGTTGTATTACCCAAATCATCTATATTGGTGCTCTGTTACCTCTCCTGCTTGCATTTCTCCAGTATGCTTTTGAGGTACATATGTGTGTAACACATTTATAAGAAATAGCTTTTCCATATCCACTTAAGGGCTTTCTGTGGAGGATTGTAAAATGCAGACATGGTGAAAGGCCTTTTCAAGAGCAGACTGAAGACTCATGGGAAATACTGAAAGGTAGGGAATATAAACCACAGAGCCAGAAGACAGCAAATCCCCAGAAAAAACTAACATCCCTCAACAAAGGGGTTAGATCCTCAGCAGCAATAATGGGAACTGAGCATCCAAATCCTTGATGCTGCTGTGCAAATCTCAGTCATACAAGATATACAAGCCCCTAGGGAATGTGAGATGACAGCTAAGCAAGACAAGCACTGACACGAAGGTATACCATTTCTCTAATAAGACTGTAGAAGATTGTCTATCCTAAAGTGGAGCGGAAATATTCCAGTTCTTGAAATGTCTGACCTAACATAGAAACTATATCACTTTTAGCTCTCTGTATTTTCATCATGCACAAAACAATGACACCTGATTTTTTAAGAGAGATCTAATCAGTTTCTCTGTATGCATTAAATTGGAACTAACGGGTACACGTGCAAAATTAAAGCCTATGTGCAGGTACAGGAAGGATGCAACCTGCCTTTACCTTTTGTGCCTGTCCGTTTTGGAGCTGCACATGTATACAAGTCAGTGAATATTTGAGATGAAAACATAGTCTCTTTTGCGAATTTGGCTTATTATGTCCCATTGAATTATTAAGTACCATATAAAAATATTTGCAAATTTGTTACTGGTTACAAAGGCTGTGTTGTTATATGCTTGAGAAGGATGCCGGTTAAATCTTTCAGAGCCCCAACTCTGCAGTGCAGAGAGAGTGATCTGACTTTGGGTAAGAATGTAGGAACTGCCTTTGTGCAATGCAATGCAGTGTCACAGGCTCTATCTTCTACAGCAACTTAAATTCCATTCAAACTAGCAGATGAAAACTGATTACATTTTAAACCAGCAGTGGGCTGAGAACACTGACTGCAAAGACAGATGCCATCGCTTGAGTAATTTCAGATTGGATGCTTTATGTATAAAAACATTTTACACATGGCATAATTAAAGCACAATAATCTAAGGAGATGGAAGCTACATTTAAAATGGGGCAGGTTCTCAGCTGGATAACTCAGCATAGTTTTCTCTGACTTTACAGATAAGAGCAAAAATCTCTACATCTAATGAGTGACAGCTGTGTGTTAGAAATCCTCTAGATAAATCAAAATTGTAAAAAAAATTGTAAGGATGATTTCCACTTCTCCATACTGCTAGATCAAGCTGAGGAAATTTATAAACAAATAAGCAGTGGGGAGGAAAGGTATTTTTTAAAGTCAGTTTCTGGTTACTTTCAGTTTCTCTGAAAACTTGAACAAAGAGCAACAAGCTCTTGGGCTTGAAGAGCAGAAGGAAGGGAAATGCTTGTATCCAAACTATAAAGTCCCTCATTTCATTTAAAATAAACTAATTAAAATAACAAAAAGCATATTTTCAAACTGTTTTTCCCATGAAGAAGTTCTTATGATTTTAACAAATCAGTATTTTGATCCTAAAATTTTAAGATAGTATTCCTTGAAACCTCAAGGAGAGAAAATTTCATGTACTGAGACAGAAGAACTTACAAAAGTAATAATTAAAAAATAGGTATGTGACATACAAAATGAGGCCTATTCCTGTTTCTGCTGGCTGCAATAGCATTGCTTTTGGTAGTAAAGACAGAAGGGGACTCTTGCCATCATGTCAATCCTATAAATAGCACCACTTGATTTAATCTGAACCCTTCTAGATTCATGTGATTTGTGGTATGGTGAACTAGTTATTGCTATTTTTAAATTTTCTGACTCTTCCACTCTATCCTAAATAGAAACAAAAAAAAACCTAGAATATCCTTCCACTTGATACTGTGGCATATGATATAAAGTATATAATAAAGTATATGAAAGAGGGTTGCTATTAAAGAATCTCAGTTTTGCCTCCATTTGGAAACCACCGAACAAACACTTTAGTTCATGGGACAACTTCTGCTTTCCATCTCTTAAACGCCTTGCTGAATCATAGGTGTTGTTAATCTGTACACGGTGTTCATAAAGCAGTCAAATTTCAAGTCACTAAAAATCATTTTTGGATCTGTTCCTTTGAGTTATGGCATCGACACCTAGATGAACAGGAACAGAGTTGGCTTCCGGTGTGTAGTAAAACCACTGAAAAACAATGCTGCCGTGAGAGAAATGGTTTCCTGGGTAGAATTTAGCTGGTTTTCCTTCTACAGTCTTCTAAAGGCTTCTGAAAGTGTAGTCTTCTAAAGCAGAGCATTTACACCACACAAAAGTTCACTACATTTGCAGCTTGTTTCGCAGAATTTCTCTTTATAAGCAGCAGGCTTTGGAAGTTAAGTGATTTGAAGTCATTTTGTGTAAAGTAGTTGTTAGCATAGTGACCGTGCTTTTAATATGATCACTTCAATGTACACAGTAAATAAACATGTCTTAAACTATTCTATTTCTTTCTAAATATCTCTAAATAATACCTATATATTTTTTGTATGCATAACTACTAAACCCCTTCAAATACATTTTTGCATTATGTTGAATGGATTGATCATAAAGAAATATTTTGACATGGAAAAATAGGCTACAACAGAACAATTATCATAACTCTAGCTAAAGTTCATATTTTTTTAGACAAGATTCTTTTCCCTCTTGCTCCTTTTAGAAATACACATTTTAAAAAATTGGTTTCCTTTGGTTTGTTTGTTATTTTATTCCTAATGCTTCTCATCTGCCATCTAGTAAAGGTCATAGAAATATTAATGTACTTCCAAAGCAAGAGGACCAAAAAGCTTTGCTTTCAACAAAGCTTAGAGTATGGGGATGCAAATTGCAAAGAATCAGTGGCCTGTATCTTCTCACAGAATTATTTAGTAATGAATATACCAAGTGAAAGAGAAATGTCTGTTGGGTAAACAATACACATAAACAACTTCATGGTAGGAAAATAATGTGATATAAGAGGCTGTGGTGATCCTAGCCTGAAATCTTGAAAATGACTGGAGAAAATAAGGTGCTTATAGAGGAGACGGAAACCTAAAGCTTATAATAACTGGAAACTTTGTTTTGTTTCGCTGTAGATGGAAATGCTTTTCATTTAATAAAATACAATTAAAAATAGAAAAACGTCATGACCAAGCAGGTAATTTGTGCTGCTTTCAGAAATTATTTGAGAGATAAAGTATGATTTACCTGGAGAACTTTGGCAGAGTAGAGGAGAAAACGATGTTTAAGTGGGGTATTCCCTTCCACTGGTGGCTAAAAGCTCCTTGTTTCGGGTCTCAGCATCTCTCAGCCACTGCTTTTTGTCCCCTCACCAGCTATGTGGGACTCGATATCCTTGTCTCACACTTTAGAACAGGACTCTCTGTTTTCCCCAGTGTGTGGGAATACAAAGCAACCCTACAAAGTGTATTATCTAGCCATCGCAGAGGATATTGTTCCCAAAATACTGACCTATCTTGTGCTGAGGCAGGACAGCTGCTTATAATCTCATCCATGGTCCGTTTGTACTTAGAAAATATAATTGCTGGCTTTTTAGGAAGGAGTGAGGACACCCGTTCCATTGCAAATACTGCTGTGTGACACTGAATGACGGCAAGAAGTCAAGACTGCCTCGTGTCTTCTCCGGAAAACAGCAGCTCTGAGATCAGCCGGAGGAAATGTGCCTTAGTAAAGGCTGAGAAGGAAAATATCCACCCAAATCATCCCCTCATTTACTAAATTTGATTTTCTTTGGGGGTTTCTCAGAGCAATAGAAATCAGGCCTAAATATAGTTGCATATGGGACCTGACAAAGCCATTGCTGCTTCTGTGTTCTCATTACTTAGTCTAGTAATGAAAATAGGTAGTATATTTATGACATGTACGCCCTAAATGTCAAAGGTCTTTAGGCACCCACGTTCCACTTACTGGTGGTTTTGTTTGCTTGCATGTGCAACTTTGGAGCATCACCAACTCAGCAGCTGGGTAACATTAGAGCACTGTAAGTGGTGTTCTTTTCAAAATGGCTTATACTACAAACCTCTGACAGTGTCCTAT